GGTGGGGGTGGGGGGGATTAAAGGGAATCCAATGCATTGGTTGGACGAACCACCTGATGATTCCTTTCGGATTTGCAAAGCGATACTGGCAATAACGCGAATGCAAGGTTACTTGTTTGAAGCTTTGCTAGCTTGTTTGTTTGTTTGTTTGTTTGCTTGCTTGCTTGCTTGCATACTTGCTTGAGGCTATGCGACGATACGATTCCGTTTTGGCGAAGATACGAAAGCAAATGCGCGTTTGCTCGACCGAAAAAATATTAATATCGATTCTGATCCGAAAAATAACTTTTATCGATATTTTGTTGTTGTTTTTTTCATCTAAATACTTTATCTCAATTTTAATTTAAGACAATAAGAAACAATGTAGTTTAATTGCGTTTAAATGTTATGCTTAACGTTTAATTATTTAAGTCAAGTAACCATGGTTTAGTCGTGGTTTCTATATGGATGATGGGTGGACCCCTTTGAAAACAATAAGAAAATTGTATGTTGGTGATTTTGAAGAAATGATTAATATATTTTGGAAATTTTCAATAGGTGTAAAAAGGTAGAGTAATATAAGAATATTATTGTATTCAATTTTCGATAAAATGTACAAAAGAAAATACAATTACGTATGAATTATTATCTCAAAAACATTTCTAAAAGAATATTTAAATTTGATCTAATAAAAATAATAAGATTTAATGTAATAAATGTGTGTGTGTGATAAATTTAATGACGTTCTTCGTATAATGTTCGTAAAAATAAGAAATATAAATTGAAATATTTTATTTATTCTCATAACAAAATTTAAATAAAAAGAAAAATATATATATATATAATTGGACTGTTGAAAACAATAAGAGAATCGTATGTTTGTGATTCTGAAGAAATAGTTAACATACTTTGGAAATGTTCAATAGGTGTAAAAAGGTAGAGTAATTAGAACAATATTGTATTCGATTTTCGATATAATGCACACAAAGAAATACAATTACGTATGAATTATTATCTCAAAAACATTTCTAAAAGAATATTTAAATTTGATTTAATAAAAGTAATAAAATTTAATATGATAAATGATAAATTTAATGACGTTCTTCGTGTAATGTTCGTAAAA